TTCCCCAGCCATCTGTTTATCCAATATGGCCGACCCATCTCAGCTGGGAGCTTTCCCAGGGAACAAGACTTCTAATACAGTTCCTCCTCAACTTAATGGCCCTCGGTTCTGTTTTTGCCATTCCCGCTACATGCAGAGAGACAAAATAGGAAAAAAAAAACGAAAGAGGCATAGAAGTACAAAAACCTGTCTGGATCCCCCCAAAAAATGGTCCCTGGATGACTAAAATAAACAGCGAAGCCACATTTCAAAACGCCACGGCTCTTTTCCTCCCTGCTCCACTTTTCTCAGGTGGACGGACTAAATATATGTATAACGTTACACAACATTTGACTCAAGACAGATTCTTAACATGTCATCTCTTGTTACTGTGAATTAAACATTTAGTAAGGAGAAGGAAGGTGACGCTTTTCCTTCACAACTGCTTCAATCCTCTTTGAAATGTTGTGATACACATCTCAAACTGTGCAGTTTTGAGGCGAAATTCCTTTTGATGCTGTAGTTTGATTTTCATGCAACTTTTCTATTCTCGTGTCCCTGCCCCAGAGCCTAGTCATGCAAACACTGTTTCACATTTTTGATGCATCTGTGGTGCACTTGCAATTCGCTTTCTAGAGTTTTTGCGGAAGAAAGACTGAAAGAAAAGAAAGTGGGTTTATATAGCTTCAAACGCAAAACAATGTTGTCAGGCCTCATTTGTTGACAGGAGATGGCACACACTGTTGGTATGTGGCAGTCCTCCCAAAACCGTTTACCAACACTTATTGCTGAGAATAAATGAACATGCAAATACCAAGGGGGATCATATTTGCTAAATAATCACAGCATCACCAGCTTTAGTGTCAGTCCGTCAGAATGGAGAAGCAAAGGTTTCTATCGCACCATTTTGGATTATTTAAAAGTATTTTTTGACGCGGCCCCTCCTCTCCAGATTGAGTGTTGACAAGGCACACAAAAGTGCTCGCTGTCCCAACATCAGACACACATCCTTTTTATGAAAGGGTGCAGAGAGGAAGGGGGGGGGTTGTGAAAAGGGAGTATAGTTAGGAAGGTAAGATATAAACATATAAATCAATAGTCCCAATTGCCCTGCTAAAATCTCCCTCTCATTGTGTTTGGGCTGGGAGTCAGGCCAGCCATCCCAACACTGGAACAATGGAGGAGAGGGTAGCAGTGGACCAGCTACAGTATGAGTCACCCCCACACACGCACACAGACACAGTGTAAATAGACATCTCATATCTCATCTCATTTCATAATTGCACAAACAGGAACATTAGAAGAGATGTTTTTAAGAAGGTTTACACATATTTTTTATTCCAAAGGTTCAAGTATTTAAATTTGATCAACCAGCAACCTAAACTATTTTGATTTGAAAAATGTTGTAATATATCTGAGTTGTGTCTCATACAAGGCCAGCTTAATTTGTTTCGAAATTTTTTGTCTTATTTGCAACATTTTTTTTATCTCCAATATTGTCAATTTACTTGCCTCTTTACTTTAATTTATTTTGTTTTTGTTTTCAGTTAGATGTTTTTGCTAAGTACTGGATTTTTCTATTTCTGCTTCAGTCATTTCCTAGAATGCCTTACAATTCGATTTTTTCAGTTTTTTTCCATTTTTAAATCAAGAAAACTCAAAACACGGCATCCATTTGGCTGCAGTCGATGGAGAGACTGCTATCTGAGATTTTTAATACCTCCTAAAGACAAAATGAATGCAGGAGTCCAATCATTGCCAGTAGCTGCCTTTTAAAAAGCATTTTTGAGTATATTTATCCTTTAAAACGCAAAGCTGACTAGTCGACGGTTGGCACCAGAGTGGGTGGAAGGGTTCATGGCAGGACAGAGGACAGGAGAGGATGGGGACGGGAGGGGTGGCAGAGTACCATGTGCTAGCAAATGTCACTGAGAGACAAACCTCCTTAGAACACACTCAAATACTGATACAGTGTAAACAACTCATACACTCATATACTGGTTTAAGCCCTGCCAATATACTTTCATATGCAGAATACAAACTATGAAACACGTCCACACATTTAAAAGTACCTGCTGATAAATATGTATCTGTGCATCGTCATTTTAAAATTACGTTTTCATGAAGCCGATCATCTGCAAAATGTAAATTGTTCAAAGATAAGGTTTTAAATAAAACATATAACAATTAAAAATGCCCCAGATTAATTAACAGCAATCCAATCTTTCATAAAAAAAAAATACAATCCATACATTACCAACAACTGACCTAAATGTGTATCTGTAACAGCATTGATATCAAGGAAAACATACTCAAACTCAGGCTCAGTAAACTTAGCAGGTGCATTAAAAAAAAATAGGCTTGGGTGCAAGTGCAAACCTAGACATACATCCTGCCAAAACCTTCTCTCATCACGCCACTTTGTCTCTGATTTCAAAACCAGTGCACCAGACCTGAATTGCGATGTGTTAAACCAATCAAAACTGGGGTAGGTTGGCGGTAACTTAGGAGCCCACCCCATCTTCTCAGATCCAACGTGTTAGAAATAAACGTCCCTCGAGTCATACCTCGTTCCCAGAAAGAGGGGGAGAAAGAGAGAGGCAATGTGCTGCATTGGAAAAGAATGAGGAGAGCTTTTTAGAAGGTTCTCCTAATGGCTAAATATTTATGAGTCCTGTGACCGACGCCAACTTATGGAAACTAAATCTTTAAACACTTTTTTTTGGCAGACGCCCCACACACACACTCCCAGCTTGGCTCTATTACCAGAGAAATTCTTTTGTTCTTACGGCGCTAATAATAGTGAGAGGGGCTGTGTGTTATGTGTGAGCGGTGTCTGTGTCTTGATGTGGGTATATGTGTGTGTGTGTGTGTGGGATGAAAGTGTATTTATAGCTTCCTACAGCGCCACACTACTCCTGTGACAAACCTTCAATTCTGCTCTGAATCCTGTCTCTCTGGTCCCAGGCTCGATCTCACATTCATTAGTCAGGTCCATATTAAAAGGAGATGTCGAAGGTCAGGTGGATTCAAAAGCATGATGTCTTAAAACAACGGGACACTCACCATTTGCAGTAGGTAGTTGTATCCTTAACACCATATGGTAAGAAAAGTGTATACATTTTTAGTATTAAAGGAAATAAATCCTCTAACATTGGCAATGTTTTGTAATGCTTGAACAGTACAAGACCATTAGCCTGCATGTGCTCCTATGTATGAACACATAAACAAAAGGAGACGTATTCACAGGGAGATGGCAGTGGTCCTGGGCGGGTTTTCTTTGTAATTTAGTGTTGAACTGCAGTAGCAAACGCATAAAAGCTGGCAGCAGAACAGACGAGCAACACACATACGCACACTGCACAGTACGCACACTCAACACGCAATTATGATCGATAAACAAATTAAACCTTAAAGCTCAGCTGAAGATAAATCCTCGAAGGCAAACTATTTGAGGGAGATGTTTCAAAACCAGGAGTGTATCACAACAACATCCACGATGCTAGTTAAAATGTGTTCAATATCAGTCTGGCCTGCTCACGGTTTGCTTACTCCCCTCACCATCACCAACACTCAGCCTTGCTCAGCAGTTCTCCCAGTATTTACTAATGAGAAACAAGCAAGGAAGGACTTTATCCATCCCCCTTGTGCTTTAGGTAGGTGGCTCTTTAAAAATACTGCAGGAGGGTTCAGTTCAATTATCTCCCTCGTTCAAGTGAAATACACTCCCACCTTCCCTAAACCTATGAGGACTGTGCAACTGCAACTGCATTGAGCTCAGGTCATTTTCTACCTTTGTAACAAGCACCCAGCCCAATTACTATTCATTAGGCAAACATAATGACATTTCATTCAGCAGCAAATCAGGGAGTGACGAACACAAGTGGGGGAGATAATTGAATTAGGACAAGGGTGTGAGAAATAGAGAGTTCAGAGTGGAGCAAAAATGATCGTTCAAAGTTAATGGGCAAACCACACACAATTATTAGCTGTGGCCACACCTTACGAGCAAGCCTGTGTGTGTGTGTGTGTGTGTGTGTGTGTGTGATCTCGAAAATGTCAATAGCGGGGACACGGCGTATGCTAAATGTCAACATGTGTTTTTCAAGGACTCTTTTCAGTGTTGTAATTAGCTCTGTTTTTAATATCACATTTATCTCATTTGTTATTTTCCCCTTTAAAAGCAAAATACTATGAAATATTTGGAGGGAATTTTGCAAACAGGCCCGTGCCCATGAATATGCAGCTGAGCCTTTGGCGATGCAGTGTGAAACAAACAGACAAAGGAGTCGGAGAACGGGAAGAAAAACAGGTGAAGCACAGACTAATCAAACGCCTTTCATGTCGCTCCGAACATTAACCTTCATTCAGAGCAAATGAAGCTGCGAGCACACAAACTCTCCCTTGGGCTCTGTGAGGCATTAGCGGACGGTTACTATTGGTCAGTTGGGATTGACGGAGAACGCAGTGTTTACCAAGCTCAGATTTTGTTGTCTTAATAGACTTTGCAGATGACACATACCGAATGAAAATGCCTTTAAAAGAATGTCCATCACAAATAACTGAAGGTTAAAAAAATCTTAAATCTTAAAATTAAAGTAATAGACAATTCGTTGTCATTGTGACACTATTCTCTGAGTGATTTAGTCAGCTCTCGTTTTTTTTTTTTTTTTTTACCAATATGCTAATAGCCATCATCTCTTATCATCACAGAGTGTGTGCCCACTTAGATCTGAGGGATATTTCAAGGGGAGATGGGCGGTATGCAGTTCACATAAAGCCCTCAGACTAGGACCCTGTTAGTATGAAAAGTGCCTGAAGCTTGTAGTCACAGTTTTCACAACCCATAGCCAAAAAATGTGTCACACACAGGGTAAATGTGGCTGGCTGCTGTATTTTGATCAGGCAGTGGGAGAGACAGAGGTGGCAGCTACGAGCACCCCCCCCCCCCCCCCCCCCCCCACACACACACACACACACCTACACACTGTGTACTCTGCATTAGTGTTGAGCCAGTGCATGAAAGAGGAAGATTAAAGGCCTATTGAAGATAAAGGATTGAGCACCTGATGTTCATGAACTGTGTAAAGTACTGTCAATTATGGATGACAACGTGGTGAAAGATTTATCATTGAAACAAAATGCAGGATGACTTATTGAAGGCCTGCAGAGCATCTGCAAATAGAATTAAAGATTAAATAGTAGCATGCTCATAATTAATAGGAAGGATTGCCAGAACCATGAAAATAAGATAACGCATGAATATTTTCCTCACTTACAAATGTAATCCCTCTCATCACACGGATCGTGCAAAACCTACCTTGAGTTCACGGAAGAAGATGCTGCTGCGTGCCCACTCCACGATGGAGAAGAGCGTCTGGTCGGCCATCTTGCACATGAGGCCGAAGGTGTTGAGCTTCTCGTGTTTGTTTCGGCTGGCCTGCTCCTGCTGCAGGTAGGCCATGATCTTGGCCTGAACCTGTGGCTCGTCTGGCTCACACTTGAGCAGCTCCACGATCAAGTGAGGGAAGCCGGGCGGCGAGCCTGTCTGGTAGGCATCGACGTAGGTGTAGCCCATGATTGACTCCGGCGAGCTGGTATACGGGTCTGGGTACTCAGACTTGATGGTGCGCGTGCCCTGGAAGTGTCCATAGGCCGCCTGGTAGCCCTGCAGGCTGCCGGCGTGTGGTGGCATTGCCATGCTGACCGGCGAAGTAACAAATGGACTGCGGTCGTAGTCTGTGGGGGGCAAGGCGGTTGCATGATGATGATGGTGGTGGTGGTGGTGGTGGCCTGTGTGGTGGCCCGGGTGGTGGCTCAGTGGAAGGCCCTTGGATGCGGCCGAGTGGATGTTCTGGATGGCTGAGGAGATGGTGAGGTCGGTGGGCACGGCTTGCATCACCTGAGTCATGGCCTCAATCTTCAGGCCGTTGGCTCGGATCAGCGCCTTCTTTTGCTGCTTGAGGGCCCGGTCGCGTTTGTACATCGGGCCAAACTTGTTGCGGCCGCCTCGCATGCGGTCCGCCCGCACAGCTGACAGACAGATGGAAAGAGAGATGAAAAAGGAGACAAGAAGGAAGAAGACAATATTAGCTCTGTAGTAGGGACATCTTTTGTCTTGAATGCACTCATTCTTGACGGTGTTCATGCAAGATCGCACGATTGTTACTAAGCAAGTTAGTGTTTTATACGGAATGACAAATCCACCATGTATACAAAAAAAGAGTTTCACAACCTGAAAAAATGAAAACTAGTTTGTTTAGGATTGCTGGTGACTGACAGGAAAATGCTGACAATGCTTTTACGTATCAAATCCTCTGTACTATAGCGATGCTGTGAGATTTGTCATTGTATGTACAAGCATGGCGTTATGGAAGTGAACCCGTCATTTGTAACTCGTATGTAGGGCAAAGATTTACCTGTGGTGATGACACATGACATCTACCTGTTGACTCGTTAACCCCACAGGTCTAACTGATAGTGTCGTTACTCATTGACCAGAGACTCAAGCTTCTATGAACCGCTCAGCTAAGTGATCATTGTACAGCTGGCTATCTCTGTCTACCACTCAGGAAACGCACACCTCAAAAGCTAGATATTTGTATGGACTCAAAGAAAGCTCTCTTTCATACATTTAAAAATACATATTTTAAAATGTTATCTGATTTTGCAATATCTAAAAACTTTAAAATGTCACTGTCCATTAGCAGAAAACCTTTTTCTTTACAAAACCCCCAAAGGCTGAAAAGAGTGACAATAAGCAAATTGCTTTTTTTTTCCTGATGAACCAAACATGATGCCCCCCCCCCACCCCCCCCCCCCCCCTCAGTGCAGGATCCTGCGGTGAGGATCACAACGAGTCTGTGTCGTGGGTATTTCTAATGAAAGAGATGGGCACACGGTGGACTGCTACGAGGGCCATGTGTGATCTGGCCGACTGCTGCCACGGGGAAGCTGCTCTGCTGTCTCCCAGTCGGGGGGCCCTGGTGTTAATTATTCATACTTAATTACCTCTTACTCTGACGAGGCTCGCCGAGCCCAGCGTGTAACGAGCTAACGGTCGTCTGGGAGGCTATGCAACAGAAAAGATCTCCCTAATACCAATACTGTAGACTGTTAGATATTATTTTCATTGTATTCAATATAAAGAAACATATTTAACTGAATATGCAAATACATGTGGAAACGTTTGCTGTGATCATACATAGTAAATAGTCGGCCTAAGTCCACTGCAGCTCACAATGTCTTGACTTATGAATGAAACAACAGAAGAAGAAAATTGAAGAGGAGATGTGGAGAGGGAGGGTGGGGGTCAGAGTTTGGGGGTAAGGAGGGGCACACACACACACACACACACACACACTCACACGCGCGCACACTCACACTCTCCGAGCTGCCTTGGGAGTGATTTTAATGACCTCCGTCACAAAAATGTCTGCCATTGATCTGAGCCGAGAGTGGAGACACACACATACAAACACACACACTCTCACACACACTCACACCCACATGCTGACTCTTTCTCGGACATTCTTGGAGAAAACACATACACACACACACACACACACACAGGAAGCATCACACACTGGCCCAGATCACACAGCGAGAGATAGTAGCAGGCCAGACGCTTGGCCACCTCTGAGAGCCCCCGACGACTCAAATGGAATGCAATTTATACACACACACACACACACACACACACACACATACACACACACACACAACCATTTCCCAACATGCTTGAGTTCAACTCCACTGCCCACTCAACGAGGCCCGGAGATTGTCATGGCCATTAAAAAATTGATCACGCATCAAAGGAAAAAATAAGGAATCAGGAGCCGTCAAATGTATCCATTATACATTATTGTAGGGCGACTTTAACTATTAATGATTTCTCCACAACAGCGTACTGTAATTAATGAGCAGAGAAACTAATAGTTGGCCCTACTGGGAAAACAAAATTAGGCCCCGACTGCCTGCATGCCTGCCTCGGACCCGGGGACCCACATCATCATGAATATCACACAAACACACACAGATTCTTTGTCTCTAATTAAACAAGGTGATTTGCATGCATGTAACACAGATTAATATGGGAGGGGGAGGGGAAAAGGGGAGCGGGACAGTGTATGCGTGAGTGTTGGGGGAGAAGATGAATGTGTGCGTTTGACTGAGGTGGAGACATGTTAATGAGTTAGATGCAAAGTTGCCATATGACACTGCAGCTTAAGAAGGTTACAAGGTTAAAACAAATTAGTAGTGTGGTAGTAATTTGTAAATGTTTTCATGCATGAAAAGAGAAACCATTTTACAACAGCTGTAATTGAATTTCCCTTTCATAAAATCTCGTGTCTGTTCCACTCTTAAACTCACTGGTAGGTTTCTGTGGTGCCAAGAAAGTTTTGTGTTTGATGTTTGTGGTTTGTCTGGCACAAACAACACAAACTGAATAGTTAGCTTGGCAGTGACAGCCACCACTGCTGAACAGGCAAACAAGAAAGACAGCCACCTACACAAATGAAACAAACTTCATCAACAGCAAGCAAAAAAAGACTACAGTGCTGCACACTCAGCTTGATTGACAGGAGTTGTCTGGAAAGTGCAGCAAGGAGTACTTAGCTCAGCGCAAAGGTAGAGGCCAAAAGAAAAAAAGGACACATTAATTTATATATATATATGAACGGATAAAATCCCAAAGGAAACAGTTTGAATATATGAGAATAAACTTTTATTTGTGTGAAAATGATTTGGTTTGGGGATATTGTGGGTTAGCAGTGAGGCTTTGGGGCTAAAGCCAGGCTGAAATGCTAAAAGGCTGACGCTGTCTTCCACTCCGAATTCCCCCGACTTACTGTCTGAGAGCACGTCCTCACAAAAACATACTTGGGCACACACACACATCCATAAATTCAGAAACTGACCCAACCAAAAATCTTGTTCCTCTTTCCCAAAAGTATCCAGTACCCAGTGTACACATCATCTCAAACATGTACGAACACAAACCACACACACACACACACACACACACACACAGCATCCTTCACTCACACAAAATGTCTCTGCACACATAACCCTTAACACACTGAAACACATCACACACACACAACCTTCCTCAGCGCTTATATCCTCTGATTTATGGTTGTTTAATATACAGGAATATTAAGCGCGCGTAGGTGAGGATCCCTGTCGACCGCCAGCATATTAATGGGTCCCGCGGAGCCTTGCTGACACCCTGTTTGTCATGTCGGGGCCCCGGCCCCTGCTCCGGATGCGCCCTATCCCATGCACACACATGAATACCTATGATACCTATGCATAAGTAATGGGACAGCTCCCTGGCTTCTACTGCAGGTACTGGGAGGCTGATGGAAGACAAATCAGAGTAAGAAAGATGGAGACAGGGAGGAAATAAAAAGACGCAGAGGGAGAGAGATACAGTGAAGAATATACAAACACTCAGATGGTGTCGATAATTTGTACTGAATAGCTCTTTAGAGGTTTTGCATTGATAGTAATTGATTACTTTAGATTTGATGATGGGTTAACTGCATGAAAACACAAAAGATATCTAAAATGCAGCATCTCAAAACTGTAAAGGAACCAGAGAGTAAAACAATAAGCATTTAGTTCTTTGTTGTTTGAATATTGTAATCATTACCATTTGTCACGTTGTGCCTGTCCTCAACTTACATTTTCAATGGTTATTAAGAAGAAAATGATTTAACTTCTGCTTGGTTGAATAGCGCACAAGTGGAACCAGAGTGTACAAATACCACTGTTACGCTCCGTCTTTAAGATGATACACAAGTGAAGGAACATATTAGGCAGCTCAGTGAAGCATGTGATGCAAGGCAACTTCTAGCGAGCATAAAAAGAAAATCATGCCAGTGGGAGCCGTTCAGATACGTCACGCTTCATCAGCTTTAGTGAATGACGTGCTAATGGGTCAAACCTTAGTGGGATGTGGCTTTTTTTTCTTTTTCCTCAATGAGTCAACAGTGAGAGCTGAGACGCTGCAGTGCATACCGAGATGCAAGAGTTTCTTACAGCACCAAAGCGTGTGTGTGTGTGTTTGTGTGGTGAAATGAGAGCGTGACCGCCAGGGTCAGTCATCATTGTGTGTCTGTATATGAAAGAGAGTGTGTGCTCCAGACAGTAACTGGAAAAGATAAATTAGCAGGTTAAACAAGTTTTTATAGACAAATATTAATAACAAATATAGTCATATATTTAACTTTTTATAATTTCATGATACTGGCAAATGTTAAAACTGATGGCATGTAGTTTAATTGATACTATAGGTTAAAGAGTGCTCATTTTGGGGATAAACGTGTCTTCTTAGAATCTCAAAGTGGATGCAGTAACTGGAAAGAGTTTTTTTATTTTATTTTGATGTTGCACACTAGGTCAGAGGTAAGTCGTTTATCCTGTGGCACACAGAGGACAATATGATATGCCTCTGAAGCATTCCTTCGTTATGCAAAGACGTCAAGTTTAAAAATTTCTGTTATCAATTCAAGATAATACGACTGATCTCTTAATGCTGGGATGGGGTGATAGACATATTCACATCATTGTTTACTGTATATCACTCTGAGCCCGTCTGCCATATCACCTTGTTTTTCGCTGCCTTCCCACAACTTTGAGACATTAACACACGCACAGACACACATCTTTACTGCTACAACCCTCACAGCAAACTGCACAGACCACCCCATGGGTTGGCAGACTTATCAACAAACAGGAAGGACATAGAACAACACCAGAAAGGCAAAAGTAAACAGTAAAAAAAAAAAACACTTTTAGTCAACTTGAAAGTTTTCCTCACATTTTTTTGCCCACGTTTGGTCTCGATATCTTGAATGTTGCTGCAAGCTGCTGTGTAATGGTATGAAAAGATTGCAATAACAAGGCACAAACCCCAAACCTCCTTTCCTCTTTCACCACTATTGTAGACACTTCTTTTTTTTTTTTTTTAGGTCAAATGACAGTTTCTTACTCTTGCCCGTGGCCTTCTGAACACCTTTTTGGGCTTCTCATGAATATATGTATGTGTTTACCAGGGCGAGCTGTAAGTGTGTGTATAGCGTGTATGTATGTGTGTGTGCGGAGGGGAGGGTTGTCAGCCTTTCTGTATCGGACGTCTTTACTGGTTGTGGCAGGAGTCGCCCACTGGAGCTTCTGGCCCCTGACAGAGTGCTGCAGGGCCCGTCTTGCCCCCGAGCTGAAAGCTACCGCCAGCGAAACAAATCAAACGCTATCCCCTCCCCACCCGTGTCAGCTGGAAAATGACAGGCCGGGACATTCTGCCCAGCGGCCATTCACAATTAACAGCAATTAATTACACCACAAAAGGCAGCAAAAGGGAAGAAGCCTCCGGAAAGATTTTAGTTAGGCTGTCTTTGCTCTACTTTCACCCTCCCAGGGTCTTACTTATTCAATACATTAACTTTTCTCAATTGTATGTGATCATTCCAGGAGCCTAGGGATTTTTAATTTGGCTTAAATTACAAATGTGTGAAGAATTTTGTTTCAGGATTAGACTGAAACTGTATGAATAACAACACCTGCTCCTAAAGACTACACAAAGAAAAACAAATTGTATTTTTTTAGAAGACAGTATTGTAACAGCTTCATGGTTAACGGAATCAAAATGATTATCTTTAGCTTTTTAAATCCCCTATTTTACACGTATTGAAAGATGACCTTCAGGTTGCTTTATCCACTCCAAAATTAGCGATTTCAGAATAAAACTTGTCAACTCATGTGTGGAAAAATATTTCATTTTAAATATTATCTTTGACCATTGGAAGAATGTTTCTTGCCCTGCCGTCCTGTCACTTCTGGATAGCCGTGTTTGAACAAGCTTCTGAGCCACGTTCAAATTAAACAAAGAGGCCTCGAAACGGCCGGCCAAAAGTATCATCATTACCATTCTCGCCCTGCCGCCAAGTTTAATATTTTATCTATTACTCTGTCTGGCAAGTTTAAGTGCACAGCAGCTACAAGATACCCCCTAACTCCCCCTGACCCCATCTAACATACTAATAAGCAATGCTGGATTTCAACGCTTTGGTAGTAATGAAAGGTTTCACTTCACAAAGTTCTAGGTAGACATTTGCGAGAACGGATATTACTGAGCTGTTCATTGTTAAATGTTTAAATAAATATAATATTCTCCCTCCATACAGGCAATTATTATGTCAGAGCAGGTATCAACCTTTCCTAAATGGTGGTCATGTCAATTTCGAAGGAAACTATTCACATGCAAATTGATCATGGGAAGAATATTTTCACCAAAAGAAGTCCTAATAGGTGAACGTGCTGTGATTAACTGTGTTCAATTGTGGATCAAAGGAAAAGGCTAACTCTGTCATTTCACTCAGACTGTTAAAGCACCTCTGTGGAAATCCAGAAGCAATCAACCTCCAACTATATTTACCCTCCCAAACTATCAGCAACAGTAATTGCAAACAGGCATCATATAAAATATCTATATAATGCAGTACACAGAAAGCAATAACTGGATCTGCTTTTCCACTCCTGCAAATGCATACTGTCAATTCTAGATCATATTTTTGTGATTGGTGTTTGGTGTAAAAGCCCAGAATAGAAATCGTACATTAAAAAAAAAACAGTATCATGAATGTGCACTTTAAAAAGCTAAAATATTCTCCCAGATTAAAATATAATGTTAAAATAAAATCCTAGAGGCTATCAAATGCATTTGTAAACCTAGATTCTGTCTTGTAGTGATGGAATGTAATTCAAGTACTGTACTTAAGTACATATTTGAAGTACTTAATTTGAGTATTTCTAGTTTTATTGTATCCTTCTACAGAGAGAAAAATATAGTAGTTTTTCCTCCACTACATTTATCTGACAGCATTAGTTACTAAAATTGTTACTTTACATGTAACTACATTACATGCAAATACAATATATTGCACTTTTAAAGATGAAACTACCCAACAGCAGCCTATATAACATATTTGAAATCAGCTCCAAATCTTACAACAGTAAAATAGTACATCCATATCACACTCACAGGGAAGGTTTTTACCTTAATTACTTTAGCTTTTGATACGTTTAGCTCGTTTGATTCATAATGTGTAATTTAAAATCTGTAATGTTGATGTTTTTACTCAAGCAAACAATATGAGTACTTCCTCCAGCACTGGTTACGGCACGTTGCATGTTAAGTACTATTAACAGCCATCTGTTCTGTCTGAGAGCCTTTGAGCAACACATTGCAATCCTAGTGGTGAGTCTGTCATCATCACAGGTAGTTTGGACATGAAACCCCTTTCTCCTTTATGCAACAACTGTGTCCTATTTATCTATTTACAAGAATCCCAAACTTTTGACAGCTACACATTATCTACCAGTCATTGCTGTACTTTGAAACACTGTTGAACATTTCTCCCTAGGTTATAGCTCATTGTCAGCTCATGTTTAAACTGGAAACATGTTGAATTACAGAGGCAGAACTCCAGGAAAACTGAAGTTCAAAGTCATTGAGCCATGAACCAAACACCTGAACTGTAGAAAAGTTAACATGTTGCCGTACCTTCTAGCTTCATGCCGACGGTGAGGCACTTTTGGAAGCGGCAGTACGGGCAGCGCTTCCTCTGGGTCTTGTCAATCTGGCAGCTCTGGTTCTCTATACATGTGTAGCGCTTGTTGTTCTGGACGGTGCGCTTGAAGAAGCCCTGCGGAGAGAACCAATTAAGACGTCAACCCGCTTGACCCCTGCAATGCGATGGTAATTGGCCCATTCACACTCCCAGACAGATGGAGAGGGACAGGCTTAATGGATACACACACACACACATAGGGGGAAGTTTTGAAAGCTACACTCCAATTGATGTTGGGATGCTTTACGGACATGCACATGCAGAATGAAGCAGAGCATGAATACGCACTTCTTACAAATGACACAAATGTCAGTCTTTCTGGAAAGTTTTTTTTTCATAATGATGTGGAAAACTTAAAGTCAAGGAAATTATTTATGAATTTCCATTTACACCATACCTTAATTTGAATTAGCTTCTAACAAATAAGCAAAACAGAAATACCTGCCTCACTTAGTGTTTTCACAGCATTATTGAACTGCTTTATAAAGTGTACAAAATGTAATTTGTGTCCTGTCAAAATGACATTACTTTTCTCAGTATTATTAATACCTCATCATATTCAGGCAGCGACTGCAGAATTTACGGGGAAAGCATCTTTTTTAACTCTCCAATTAATTATTGAAAAACATGAGCACAGGAGTCCAAAAAAATCCAAATAAATTATATCCATAATTCACTGTTGCGGGATTACAGAGTTTCATACCTGCAACATGTAATTAATTATAGGCAGCAGCAGTGAAAATCAAATGACGGGAAGATGGTATTAAAGTATTCCAGATCTATAACCAAGGAGGAGAATCCTTGAACCTGGTCCTTAAAAAAAAAAAAAAAAGAAAAAAAAAAAAAAGAATGTGCTGCTGTCAATATCTCACCAAACCCAAATTTAATTGACAATCTGCATTGCCTGATCCTTCCAAAAAAAAAATCTGCTGCGCTGGTTTTTGGATTATCGACCTCTCCGTGCTAAAAAATCCATGCTTCAAAGAGAACTTTCTCTCCAATTTTCCATTTAGTGCACAGCATGCGCTATAAATATCTGAACCAAACTGGATTCTAACATGCTCTAAAAACCACACAACATCACGCCTGGAGATTAAGCGGACGGACAACATCCCTGAAAAGCTTTCATTTGACTGCCAGTTCAAACCAAGAAAAGGCACTCGAAAAAGGCCAATTCAGAAGCAACTTTTGCACATTTTTCTTGTCATTACAAATAGCAACCTGCCTCATTCACCCAAACATGTGACACAAATTAAAATACAGTCTGAAATCATCACAATTATCTGAAATGGTTGTCTGCAATTATTATTCAGAAAAGTAAAGTCTAATTTTAATTTGACAAAATAATCTTAGCAGTTGGGTATTCCTGACCTTGGAATTCCATCCTCAAAAACTGCACTCTCTGCACAAATACAGCAGCCAAACTGCTTTTACCTAACCCCAACAAAGAAGCAGTAGAAACATGATTCACATCACCACTTTATCTCCCCTCATCCCTGTCTCCCATGCTCTTCACTTGCTGTAATATGTGTTCTGTCTAGCTTTGAAATAAAGACAAAATCCCTGGCCTTGCTCATATTTATTTTCTTTAAACTTCTGCAGAGCTTAAATATATTTCTGATATGTCCACTGTGCACTTTAGCTCTAGTAATGCCAGTATTTTAGGATTATTCTGCTATTGCTCTCTCAGTCTCAGTCTCCCAAAATGAAGCATGCTGGGAATGACCTGTTTGTGTACAATGAGGTCCATGAAGCCCGTTTCAGCTTGTTATTGTTATTCCAGCAGGTATGAGGTACCATGTTTACTTTATGTGTGTAGTAGAGTGAACTAACACTATCTGGTGTGTATGAGGTGGTAGGATTATGAGGTTAAAGAATATTGCATTTCAAAACTGGCAACACAACCAAAGCACCAACAAATTTTGACAGGGTTTAAAGGGTAAGAGGACGGGGGTAGAGGAAATTCACAAAATTATAAACTGAAACTTACTCCGGTAGCGCAGTACACAAACTGAAACAAAGGTATTTTTTATGTTGATAGAAAACTAAGAATTAAATGTAGCTGGTAGCTGCTCCCCCCCGCTCGTGGAGCTGAGGAACCTCCATTACTACACTGGAGATAGATTGTACTGCCTAACCGATAACGAGTATTTAATACCAATATGAGTCTGCCACATGTCAACACACTGATATATCAGTCCAGCTCCGACAATTTCATGCCTGCATTCAAGAGATAATCAATGATGAGCTTCAGGTAATTATCAATATCATTCATGTTTCAACAAGGATATGCAGCACTTTTTAAAACACTTCATCTACATCCTGCATGAGTGCACACACACACGCACACACACACACCAGAGCGTTTCAACTAAACTGGGAAATGTGTTTGTGGACTGGCTCTCCAACACGAGCTTGTGCTGAGTCTGAAAACCAGCAGCGATGCCCCTGACGTCTCCCTTCAAGCAAGTGCTTAGCATCTCAAGGTCATAATATGGGATAAAATCTATAACATCTGCTTTGAATAATGACCACATAGGCAAGAAATGTGCGCCGCGGCATCAATACTGTGAGCGGCACTTTTACAGCGAATAGTGTTAACACAGAGACAGTTGTCTTAGCTTAATTTTGTGCTGACAGCTTTACTGGGCTAGCCAAAGAACTTGGGCAAAGCCTAATAGCGCAGTGTTGAGGAGAACAGTGGAAATAGGCAGGAAGGGACAAATAGGTTGTTGATAGAACTCAAAATAATAGCTGCAACAGTTTACTTTGCGGTATAGCTTCATTATTAACCTGGAAACATTTTGCAGCCAGACAATGTTGCTGTTCTCTTAATGAACTTGTGATGAGAGTTTAGACAGTAGGATACAGGCGAGTACAAACAGACGGTATTATTGTGTACTCTGCTTCCTGGGTAAAAAACTCCTCCCCCACCTCCTGTTTTTGGTGGTTGCCAAAATTGCAACAAAAAAAACACACACACTTTGCCTGCTTTTGAACCCGTGTTTCTTTCCCAAGCTGTTCACCGCTTTACAAAATCATCCAACACTCACAGGAAAAGTTTGTTACATCAATTGTCGCAACAATATTTGAACCTTGGCCTCGTAACCTTTGTTTCGTTTTTTTTCTCTCTAATGTTAATGACGAGGAACTGAATCTTTACTGTACGGCTACACTTGTTGCAGGTCACTCTGGACAAGAATGTCTGCTAAATGCCTAGCGTGCAAAAATATAACCGCAAAAATACATCTCCAAAGATGAACAGAGAGATTAATACACTAAAGTAAAAAAATATATAAGATCCATAGCATTACTATGTATAGATTGTATTTTAAAATTGCATAGTACAAAACATGGCTGTTTGAGTATTCAAGTAAAATAAAAGTGAATGAAAATGTCAAACAGCACATAAACACATCACAGCTTCACTGAATACACACAGGCGACAATCAAACCATGCTCAGCCACTGTAAACCTAAGACTGACAGGCTTCCATGCACTACAGGAACTTTGTAATAACACCAATAATTAGAAACCTCACTACCAAAAACTAATTTAGACACTTGAATATTGTAGATATCAAAGCAGATACGGGAAGGCCCCCATGATCACAATATTATTGCAATAGTGTAATGCTTTTCCACTGGGGAGTGGGGAATGAGGGCACTAACCTTGCAGCTCTCGCAGGTCAGTAGTCCGTAGTGATACCCTGAAACCTTGTCTCCGCAAACGGGACACATCTCGTCCAAGTCTTCGTCATAGGTGTAGTCCATCATTTTGAACTGGTGGGCTGAGGATGAGACACGGACACACAGACAGCAGTCAGTGCTGAGCAATCTCTTTTCCAAAAGCCCACTTCCATCCATCAAGATGAACCGCGGGGAACCACGCGACGCAACTGGATGAGATTTTTTTTAAAGTTCTGTTGGACTTGTAGAGGGGGCGACGATGAATAGTCTCGTTTGGAGTGAGTAGAAAGTACGCAACCATTTATTTCGCCTTGTTGCCGCCCTCTCTTCTACATGCGTTGCGGACAGAAGCCAAAAAATAAAAAAAGCGAGTCTCATAAATATGCATGCATCTAAGTCGTGAAATCACTGGGGGAAATGGTGAGATATTAGAGTTAAGGATTGGAGGAGAATATGTTACCGCCCACAGACAAATGAAGACACGCAGAGAAGCCCTTATCTCTGCAGGCGAGGAGAAAAACATGCAAAACCAACTTGAGCCAACATTATTTTCCTGTCGAAGAATCTTGCAATGCTAAAGGCCAATTGCTGCTTTTATGTGTTTTGGTGATGCAAAAGCCGAGGCAACCGTTTAATGCGACTTTCTGCGTGTGCTGGAAAAAAATAGTCCATTTAACAGCTCGTCAATATAATTTGACAAGGTTGTTTCTATTTATAATCAATTACTGTAATTTGAAAATCAATTTAGAAACAATTGCGATTCAGCAACATTGCCACATTTTGCCATTTATTTTATTAAGATTTAAGACTGGTTACACTTCGATTTGATTATGATTGCAGTGTATTTGTTAGAAATGCTTGCTTTGATAAGACTGTGTGACAGCGCTAAGCAAACAGCTACGCTGACATTTACAACAGTTACAAAAGCATTTATGGTTGTAATCATAAAAAAACAGCCAGGATCAAACAGGAAAACCTCAGTGGATGTGGCTGTAAAAGTGGAAATATTTAGTCATCTAGACGCCTTCCAATGCCTCCACATATATTAGCACTGCTCTACTTCAAAATCCACTCATCTGCTAACCGAGACCTTTTAATTAGACATGAATCCTGGTTTGTTAACGCGTTGCCCTGCTGGGATCCGCGCTGCATATTCCAGCTGAAGCAACAAGTTCCACCGAGCTGCCGGTTTTTCCACTGAAGCTCAAAGAAAACTCCGAACTTTCTTCTACCTATGAGCGCAAAAAGGAGAACATTTGGGCTGTTATCAGGCTGCAGATTTGGACACACTTTTATAAAGAAGATTTAACATAACCGGCGCACTGGTGGCAGTTACGCAGTGGACGAGGCCGTGGTAAATGAAAATAAATTAGTAGCTCTTGTTGGACATTGTACTAATGCCACAAATAAAGAATATTTCCAGAAATATTCTTTGTGGGTTTAAGCCAGATATTTTCTCCAGCTGATAATCTATGCTTCTGCTATTTCAATGAATTATAAAAGCACAATAAACTGGGTTATGCCTGTATTACTCAAGATAAACATAATTTATTTGATGGAAATGTTTGGCCAAATTGAGTTTAGTTGAACCCTCCTGCATCCCTGCTTCAAACGAGCGGAAGTGCGCACAGTGTCTGCAGGTTACATTGCTTTAGAAGGTGCAGAAACATACCGGGACAACACGGTCTCTCACCTGCTGGCTCTCACCTCGACGGCCACTTGCTCAAATTTCCAAAAAGCTAGAACATTTGTAGAAAATGCTGCTTATTCCAAGGGAAAACCTCTTCCAGTCCGAGCTACCTTGTTTTTAGCCCTGCGTAAAAGTAGATAACGGGCTCTCTAACAAGACACTCCTTGACTTGTGAGTGTATGTTATCAGCGTCTCGTAAACCAAGACCGGGCTAATTGACTGCCAGTTTATATTGCTGTGAAATGACGTGAGGGGAATTGGGGGGGATACGTGAGTTTATCTTGGCAGAGGAGTCATCCCCTTTTTTAAATTCACGCTGCTTTATGTGTTTTTTTATTTTAGAAAGAGATCAAGAAAAATACTGTTATATATGCCGCAGGGAAGTTTTATATATAAGCCCAATTTATTTTTTTCCTCAATCAGAGCTGAACATTTTTTAAATCATAAACCTGATTTCGCACATTCAACGATCAAAAGCAACTAAATGATAGACGTTCATTTGTGAGATGTTAAAAAGAAAAATACATACATCGTAAAAGCGATATTTGGTGCCCCCTTTTAATTTAGTTAAACCTAATTTTGAAATTGCATTCATTTTTTAGGCATTTTTCTGTAAATTACAGAATAGAAATTTGTTTAAAAATATCAATTAGTTTAGCTTAATTTGTCACACAATTATAACCATTTTACAATGGCTATAAATTAGACCAGGCTTCTTAGACTAAAGTTCACTGTCCCGAGGTCAAATATTGCAAATCACTAAATGAAACCTGTGAAATTATGCTCTGCTTTTCTTTCGTTGTTTTTGATAAATTGGCAAAAACTCTGTCTTAACTAATGTTTGTATATAGACAAACTCAAGACTCAATTCTGAACATTATATTAAGACAAAGTTAAGTGATTCATTCCAATACTACAGATATTAAAATGTTAAATACACAGATCCCCTCTGCTCTGTTTCGCCGTTTTTACGCACCAGGCGCACGCACACTTCCAGCATGAGTGACTGAGTAAAATCATTGTTTCATCACCGGCCAAACCATTGAAAAGTGTGTCCAGGTTTGATCTGCATTCATGCTTTCTAATTGTTATCATAGTAAAGATAGTATCGTAGTAAAGATTCAGAGAAAATAACACCTATCCCCAAACCACGATAAGAGAAATTCCCAAAATCTCAAAAACGAATGAGCTCCAAATACCTGATAACTTGACACGTTCATCATGCAATAATAGCCTAAATTGTCTTATCATTATTCATTTTCCTACGTTGTCCTACGCAGAAAATGTGTTGGACACACGCGTATTCAAAACTTTTGGTGACATATGCGCTGAGGACTTCCATTCCGATAACGTTCTGGAAAGTGGAAGTGTATGAAGACATGTTGTAGTCTTACGAGATGAAAATGAATGACAGTTCTTACCTTGCATATTCCTTGGCATGCGCCCTTGTTCTCCATACGATCGAGAGAGTCCCAGTGATTCAGTATCGACTTTGGGCAGCATGTCAGCGCTGCCGGCCTGAGCTGGAGACTCCGCACGGCTCGGCGGGACACTTGGACGCGAGAGGCAGATGTCCCCACAAACAACTGAAAGTTTTCCAAATCTCTATTAAGCTCTTTATTTCTTACTTTTTGTCTCTTTTCTGTCGTCCACTTATCGGACCATGCTCCGAATCCGAAGTCTGATTCGAACGATTCAGACTGGCTTCAAACGCCCGGGTTGCATAGCCGGTGCGTATGATTTTTAATTCATGTAATTTCTCAAAATTGCATTTTCGCACGGAAGAGCAATACTAACGCAGTGCAGACACGAGTGATTCCTTCGATTGTTATTCAGGAATAGTTGCGTGCTGACTTAGGGAATCGGTCTCTTACTCAAATGAGAAAACTGCACAGCGTCCGGATTGAAATACGATGGTGGGTTTCCCTTTAGCTTTTCCAAAAGTCTTTTTTTTGGCGCATCACCCATGAAAGTGAGACCTTCAATGTAACTTTCAGGCTTTAGCAGACGAGTACGCGCCACCGGGGCCGCCCCCTTCTGTGCGTAAAGTCGGATTCGGTGTGCCGGTCGGACTGTCTGGAGATGTGGAGACCTCTCCTCCTCCTCCTCCTCGCGGCTTTGTTTACTCCTCTCCCTCCAATCCGGGGCTCATGCGGTCCTCTGACATCATCCTTCCCTGATCCAATCAGGCGAGGAGACCGGGAAACATCGCCACAAACCCTCCAGTTTCGTCTCTCAGAAATCTCAGCTGTTTAATCCCGATAATGATGGACTTTAAAAGTGGAGGGAGAACAAGGAAATCAAGCAACGTGATGCAACTGCATGTGAGAGCAGACTCAGCGCACGGAGCGCAAAGGCAGCGCGCGAGGTACGTGGGTTGGAGCGTGTTATAACAGGGTCTGCAACGCACGCATGCACGCCGCTACGCATAATTCTAAAACGTAAAGTTATTGTTTTTTATAACATTCTATATATTTTTTTATCTGTAGCAATTTAATGTAATGTTTAGTTGATCTCAATAATCAATTGTTGCATCATGCCCTCTGCTTCTGTGATCATCTAGTAACGGTCCCACTGATTATTAGAACGTCATAAAATATAATTAAATCAAATGTACTTACATTTCTTATTTTCTTTCTTTCTAACAGGGGTATCTCATTTTATAAATCAAAATTCTGCCCAAAAGCTATTACAAAAAGTAATATAACCGAGAAGATTTTGGGTTTGTTTGCTCAATTATAGAAAACGTGAGCAGGCCCGGCCTCAGGCTTATAACGGCCTTTATTTTCGGGTCCCCATACGCAATAAACTATGCCTTTGCTTCTGAATAAGTATCAGTAATTGGCTGAGCAGGGATCAATTAGTGATCTGACGTCAAGCTCAGGCTATTTAGTCTATTCCAAATTAGTTACATAAAGACAAGAAATTATTTTGTTAATATTTTGATTATTCCACATACAAACACATAAACACTTATTTTACTTTACAGAGACACAATATATCGGGGAGGACGAGCAGGGGCAGAGACGGAAAAGTCCCGGGGCAGACCGCCAGACACACCTGAAGGGTCGCAGAGGGCACGCTCCATGCACACACTTGTAGTCGCGTCCAGTATAACAAGGGCAACACGCAGAAATAATTATGTTAGTAATATATGATCATTTATTAGTCTTATCGACCTATAAAATGTTGGTATTATTTGGATGGAAAATCACCACAGTAAGTGGAACAAACCACTGTTGTAATAAATTCCTCAACGCACTTTCTCTTCTTTTTTACTATTTCTATCATTTGTAAGCATACAATTTAAATTCTAAGGGAAATGTTTACTGAAACAGTTTCGTTTAATTTATTTATCTGTAAGACCTATATGCACAAGCAAGCATCATCTTTTGAAGCTGTTGAAAAGCAGGACAAATACAACCACATTATTTAAAGCTCAGGTAGAAAAATACCAGAGGCTTTGTCTAGACACAGCCCGACCTGTTGCATTTCATTTTAGCATCAGTTATATTAAAATGCAGTTAATTATGTATATGATTTATGTGTGCATACTCTTTTTTTTTTTTTAGATAACTTGATATGTGATCCGGATTGTATTTCAGTCTTTTCAATAAAAAATGTCAAAAGTTGCTGCAAATACTGTTTTCCATAAAAGGTCAAACATGGTCAGCACATACAAAACAGGCATACCTGCCCTGATTATGTCCACTGTGGAGCTAACCTGATCCTGTTGTCATAGTTTACCACTCTTTGTTTTCAGTCAGTTCCCACTGAAGCTTCAAAAAAATCCAATTTCACCCCTGTGCAATGATTTCCTTCACAGTTTCACCTGTAACAGTAGGGCCAAACAAGTGGGTTATACATTATAACAACAAAATAAAATAACAAATTAGTAAACTTGCTGTGGACTCAAATAAAATGAAAATAATTGAATTCTCCTCCTATTCCAGTACCAGTAACCACTCAACCTCCTTTCAAAAATAAACACTGATACAGATTATTCTTGTCATCATTGAGTGACCAGCACATCAACCACAATTTGGACAAGGTGCAGAAGCTTCCACCAATCAGCAGCATGTTCTTACTGCTGTGGTGTGATTGGTTAAAGATGGGTTACTTCCAGTAGTGGGGGCGGAGTAGGGGGATGACAAGAGGGAGGACAAGTAGGGGCAGGAGGCTCAGAGGGGGGATGTTAGGTTATAAAATGACACAGACTGATAAGACCTGCTCTGGCGAAATAGCCACACTGGAATGATTAACCTGTATGGAGAGAGAGAGAGAGAGCAGGGGAGGAGGAGGAGGGGGGTGGGTGGGGGGGGGCTGTGGTGAAATGAAATGAGGGGCACGGGAAAAAGGAATCTATGAAAGACCGGTCATAAGGAACAGTATGGAGAGCGCAAGGCTTGTTTATTATTCAGAACTACAATAAAATCATTGACACCTGAAACTGTATATATATAGAGAGAGAGGTTCTTAAGTGACACTTTATCTACTTTATCTAGACAGTTTACAGTTTGAGGTGGTAAAAGTAACATAAATAAAAAGTCATGCCAACCCTGTTACTCAAACTTTGGACTAATTCTCAGCCACGTTTCACTTCCAAGTTTGGATTTATCTGAATGGCTCTCTCACACACTCACACACTCACATTGACTATACTTTCAGATACAATATTCAAGGCTGTAAAATATCTTTACATGCACTGATTTATTAAAGCACACAACTAATTGTCTATAATTTTCAACTTAATGAGTAACTATTGTGCATTGTTGTGAGCATCTGTGTGTGTGTGTGTGTGTGTGTGTGTGTGTGTGTGTGT